ACACTAGGTGTAGCAGTCAGCCAGCAGCGGTACTGACCGAGGATACACTAGGTGAAGCAGTCAGCCAATAGCGGTACTGACCGAGGATACACTAGGTGTAGCAGTCAGCCAGCAGCGGTACTGACCGAGGATACACTAGGTGTAGCAGTCAGCCAGCAGCGGTACTGACCGAGGATACACTAGGTGTAGCAGTCAGCCAGCAGCGGTACTGACCGAGGATACACTAGGTGTAGCAGTCAGCCAGCAGCGGTACTGACCGAGGATACACTAGGTGTAGCAGTCAGCCAATAGCGGTACTGACCGAGGATACACTAGGTGTAGCAGTCAGCCAATAGCGGTACTGACCGAGGATACACTAGGTGTAGCAGTCAGCCAATAGCGGTACTGACCGAGGATACACTAGGTGTAGCAGTCAGCCAGCAGCGGTACTGACCGAGGATACACTAGGTGTAGCAGTCAGCCAGCAGCGGTACTGACCGAGGATACACTAGGCGTAGCAGTCAGCCAGCAGCGGTACTGACCGAGGATACACTAGGTGAAGCAGTCAGCCAATAGCGGTACTGACCGAGGATGCACTAGGTGTAGCAGTCAGCCAGCAGCGGTACTGACCGAGGATGCACTAGGTGTAGCAGTCAGCCAGCAGCGGTACTGACCGAGGATACACTAGGTGTAGCAGTCAGCCAGCAGCGGTACTGACCGAGGATACACTAGGTGAAGCAGTCAGCCAATAGCGGTACTGACCGAGGATACACTAGGTGAAGCAGTCAGCCAATAGCGGTACTGACCGAGGATACACTAGGTGAAGCAGTCAGCCAACAGCGGTACTGACCGAGGATACACTAGGTGTAGCAGTCAGCCAGCAGCGGTACTGACCGAGGATACACTAGGTGAAGCAGTCAGCCAATAGCGGTACTGACCGAGGATACACTAGGTGAAGCAGTCAGCCAATAGCGGTACTGACCGAGGATACACTAGGTGGAGCAGTCAGCCAGCAGCGGTACTGACCGAGGATGCACTAGGTGTAGCAGTCAGCCAGCAGCGGTATTGACCGAGGATACACTAGGTGTAGCAGTCAGCCAGCAGCGGTACTGACCGAGGATACACTAGGTGTAGCAGTCAGCCAGCAGCGGTACTGACCGAGTGAAGAAATACTAATACATATATGATTTATGAACGACTGCATACATTTGTAGTAGTTAATGTGGTTAATCGATTGGTTTGTGTTTGACGTAAAGAAGCAAATATCTCATGCGTAAAGTGGTTCGGCGGGGCATACGTTGTAATGGCAAGAAATAAGACTGCCGATAGAAAAAAATACAGGAATAGTAAAATCAGAATTACTGTTAAAAATATTTAATCTTGAACAAAACAGAATGAAAATAAATATTAAGCTACACAAAATGCAGGAAATATATTTGTGTAGAAAATAAGCATGCTTACGAACAGACGAAAATGAATATTCAATCGACGAAAAATCATCCAGCCGCACTCCTCACAGAATTATCGCCCCCTTATTTTTCCTTTATTGTAAATTTACAAAATATATAAATATAACACGTACATCACAAAACTATGTTATATACACTTGCTGAACGATTTCGTGTTGCCATCGTATCTTGCTGGCTTTTCGTAGTTTTTGTTTTTAATTTATTATTTAGATTGAAAGCTATGTAGACATACATGAAATTGGAGTAAATACAGACCCCCGATTAATATTTACTGTTAACTGCATTGTATTTCGGATGGATGGATGGCTGTTTAACGTCCAGTGGCAAATTAAATGTATATTCAGGACGGGAACCCTACTTTGTACTAGACCGACACGCTTAGCCGGAGTTTTAACGTGCTAGTTCACAAGGTAACAGTCCGCAGGGAGACACACCACCTTACCCGGACACATTATTCTGACTCCGAGCCGACCAGTCTTTGCTCTTACTCCTTAATGCTGCTTTCTTAACGGAGAAGAAGCAAATACCAATTTTAAAGTATTTGGTTTGACCCGGCCGGGGTTCGAACCCACGACATTCCGCACTAGAGGCGAACACGTTACTAAAAGACCACCAAGGAGGTCATTGTAGTTCGGAGTCTGGTTTTTAAAATTGTTGTTGTGTTCTTTTATACTCAATCTAAATAAAATACAGATCCTTTGTCCACAGGCCTTGCTTACAAGGATCTTATAACACTTTCTGTTCTAATAATTATTACATCAGCCAATGAAATATCAGCCTTAACTTTTTTTGATTGATTGATTGATTGATTGGTGTTTAACGCCACTTTCAACACTATTGTGCTATTTCGTGGCGGTTAGTTTTTATTGGTGGAGGAAGCTTCAAATTTTTGAAGGTGTGTATTAATCCGACAAAACCAGAGGATCCCGAAAGGTGTTTAAAACAGAAAGAGGAGCGGAGCGTTTTTAGATCCTTGTAAACAAAGCTAAATCGCAATTGAGATCTGAATTTTAATCAGATTGTGTTATATTGTACAATATTTTTGTTAATTTCTGTAGTCCTTTTTATACTTCCGATTTTGAGTTTGAATGTCCCTTTGGTATCTTTCGGCTCTCTTCTAGATAAATATTATACATGATTCCTGTATGGCTTTCAAATGTTAAGGTTTGGGTGTTCCCGATGAATGTTATTCCGATACAGGTTGTCCCCGATAAAGGTTATTCCCGATAAAGGTTGTTCCCAAAGGTTATTCCCGATAAAGATCATTCCTGATAAAAGTTAATCCCGATAAAGATTGTTCCCGATAAAGGTTATTCCCGATAAAGGTTGTTCCCGATAAAGGTTATTCCCGATAAAGGTTGTTCCCGATAAACGTTATTCCCGATAAAGGTTATTCCCGATAAAGATCATTCCAGTAGAGCGCTTCGGACGCACGACATTTATAAAGTGTTAATTTCATTTAGTTTATTTGAGTTTTTAGTTTTGCTTTTTTGCTTATTAGATGTTGTAAAATGAACACAACGTGTTGCACTCTTTTAAGATGGACATCGAATTTCAATAAATTTGTTAATAAATTTCAACTTTATTGAAAAAAACACTTCTGATCCATATGGGGGAATTGATTGCCACGACAATGAACACACGAATGGGAAAAATATGTATCATATAAACTATCATATTCAAATTACATAACTATATTCAAATATTTTCAAGGACGGCTTGCCAAAGGCCAGCTTTAGCGACTTTTTTTAAAGAACCTTATCCGACATTGTTTCTTATTTATAATTTGTTTAAATTATTGAGTTATAATTAATGTTATATGAAATAGTTTCAATGAAAATATGTTCTTCTAACTTTTACTACTAAATAGTAAACACGTTTTTTCTTAATTTCTTCTACTACATATTAAAAGCAACCATAAAAAAAACCTGAATACCATCTTTTGAAAGCAAACAGATTTCAAAATTAAAAGTACGGAAATGCGACTTGTGTCATATTTTATCTTCTAATTGAAGAATGAGAATTGGGTGATTTTTTTATCTCCTAATTAAAGAACGAGACAAATAAAACTACTTACTTTTCATAGAATCTAATCTTAAGCTTTTTTCTCCAGCTGCTTTGAGAGAAATGGATCTTGCTTCCAGTTACTGCCAATCAATAGAAACCTACGATCCGTCACTCATAATGAATTAATATTTTAGTGCATACTTTTATTTTATTTATTACTAAAAATGATGTGAAACAGATACAAATTACTGCATTTATTTTACATGTAATTCATAGCTTTAAGAAATTAACATTAGTTAGCAACAACAAAAAACAACATTTAGACAGCTTGTGTTATGAGTATGAAATCGATATCTGAAGATATGTTAATAAATAAATTATGAATTAAAATGTGTTATTTAATGTATCCTATATTGTTGTCGTATTACGGCGCCCTGTTAGTCTCAGACACATAACGAATTGTGCTGTTTAAAGTTACGCTCTGAAGACGCAAAGTCTAGCTTGAATATGTAAATTCTAGCGCTGAAGATGTAGTCTTTAGCTGAAGATGTAGTCCTGAGCTGAAGATGTAGTCCTGAGCTGAAGATGTAGTCTTGCGCTGAAGATGTAAACTCTATCGCTAAAGATATAAAGTCTTTGAGCTGAAGATGTAAAGTCTTGCGCTGGAGATGAAATCTACAGCACTGCTAATAATGTAAAATGTAGTGTTACACATATATTAAAAATCTAGCGCTGATAATATAAAGTCCGGCGCTTGAGATGTAAAGACTTGCGCTGATGATATAAATTCCACCGTTTGAGATGTAAAGACTTGCGCTGAAAAGATCTGTAAATCCACCGCTGTAGATGTAAAGTCTGGCGCTGCAGATATGAAGTTTAGTGTTTGAAATGTAAGTTCAAACGCTGCAGATATAAAAACAAGCGCTGGAAATGTAAAATCGAGCGCTGAAGATGTGAAGTCTATCTCTGGAGAAGTAAACTCTATCACTGCATTATGATGCAAGTGCTTACTTAACATGTAAAGTCCCCCGCCGTTAATCAAAGATCAAGAGATTGAGATTAAAAGTCCAGAGCTGTGGATATGATTTCAGCGTTGAAGATGTAAAGTTCAGCGCTGGAGATATAAACTACCTTAACAAAGAGAGAGAGAGAGAGAGAGAGAGAGAGAGAGAGAGAGAGAGAGAGAGAGAGAGAGAGAGAGAGCGTACTTTTATTTCTAGATATCATAGTAATTGTTTACATCTCTATCAACCTGTTATTACAAGTTTATATTGATTATCACAGTCTTATGAACATGTGTGCATATAAGCTGACTTAATCATTTCCCCAATAGGTTACTTAACATTTATTATAAGGCCACATTTTACGTTTTCATTTGAAAGTATCAATTTAGCATAACACATTATTCTATTTACTTCCAATGGCTGCATCTAATTTGTAAACGAAAAGGTAATTTGCGCTTTTAAAAAACGATCCCGGTGAGGTAATGGGATTGATTGACAGCTGTAATGAACATTGTATTGTTTATCTATTGATTGGATATAATTCGTGTTTTGTTATTCAGTCAACAGTTAGCAAAGTTTAGTCTTACTGGATTATTCGGCATTAAACGGTCAGAGCTCGGTTTCTATTTAATATAAGGTAAGTAAAAGATCAAAGCATTTTATACTGTGTTATTCATGGTACACACATGTTCGTGGGTTTCGTTGGTATGCACGAAACACGAATTTAAATGTACAACGAAGTGTAAATTTTATTCATAAATGCATTTATGCGAACTTTGGCAAAACTACGAAATCAAGTATCGTTCGCCTCTTTTTTAATATCGTTTATTAAGAAGTGTATATTTATACCCCGAGGGGTTGAACAATGCAAACATTACAAACTAGTAGAACATCATATACCAGTATATATAGTAATAAAATGCTTCGCTGGGCGCAGCTTGATACGACCGCAGAGGTCGAACCCTGAACAGTTGGGGCAAGTATGGACACAACATTCAAGCTTGATACAGCTCTGAATTTGGATTGTGATTAAATATTTGACACAGCATAGGTTTCTGACACAGACAGAATGTGGTCTAAGAACTTCATTTTTTTTAATTTACCTATTATGGTCCAATGTCCAAAATCAAAATACATGGTTAGATTCAGCATATCAAAGAACCCCATATATTCAGTTTTTGTTGAAATCAAACAAAGTTTAATTTTGGACCCCAACTTGGACAAACTTGAAAACTGGTCCCATAATCAAAAATCTAAACATGTACACATGTTTAGATTCAGCATATCAAAGTACCCCAAGAATTCAATTTTTGTTAAAATCAAACTAAGTTTAATTTTGGACCCTTTGGACCTTAATGTAGACCAATTTAAAAAACGGGACCCAAAATTAAAAATCTAAAAACACGGTTAGATTTGGCATAAAAAAGAACCCCAATAATTCAATTTTTGATGAAATCAAACAAAGTTTAATTTTGGACCCTTTTGACCTCAATATGAACCAATTTGATAGCGGGCCCACAAATAAAAAATCTAAATACATGGTAAGATTCAGCATATCAAAAAACCCCATATATTCAATTTTTGTTGAAATCAAACAAAGTTTAATTTTGGATCCCAATTTGGACCAACTTGAAAACTGGGCCAAAAATCTAAAATCTAAATACATGTTTAGATTCAGCATATCAAAGAACAACATATATTTAGTTTTTGTTGAAATCAAACAAAGTTTAATTTTGGACCCCAACTTGGACCAACTTGAAAACTGGGCCCATAATCAAAAATCTAAACACATGTTTAGATTCAGCATATCAAAGAACCCCAAAAATTCAATTTTTGTTAAAATGAAACTAAGTTTAATTTTGGACCCTTTGGACCTTAATGTAGACCAATTTAAAAAACAGGACCCAAAATTAAAAATCTAAATACACGGTTAGATTTGGCATATCAAAGAACCCCAATAATTCATTTTTTGATGAAATCAAACAAAGTTTAATTTTGGACCCTTTTGACCTCAATATGAACCAATTTGATAGCGGGCCCACAAATAAAAAATCTAAATACATGGTAAGATTCAGCATATCAAAGAACCCATATATTCAATTTTTGTTGAAATCAAACAAAGTTAAATTTTGGACCCCAATTTGGACCAACTTGAAAACTGGGCCAAAAATCAAAAATCTAAATACATGTTCAGATTCAGCATATCAAAGAACCCCATATATTCAATTTTTGTTAAAATCAAACAAAGTTTAATTTTGGACCCTTTGGACCTTAATGTAGACCAATTTGAAAACTAGACCCAAAATTAAAAAATCTAAATACACGGTTAGATTCGGCATAACAAATAAATAAATGTGGTCAAAGATTTTACAAATCTAATGCGCCACACTGTGCAATTAAAGATTACTTCTTGAAATTTTTCAATATTAGAAATTTGAAAAAAAAATAATATTTGAAGAATAATTCTTTTTAATTTCTGAAATCTGAAATGAGAAAAAATTGACCCCGACAATTTCTTTTTACCCCCCCCCCCCCCCTTTTTCCCCAAAAAAAATCTTTCCCTCAAGATATGGTCATAATCTCAATTCAAATTTCCAATGGAGTTTGCAACCATAATTACCCATTTAAATTTACCATAGTGCTAACTTAATCTATTTTATAATAGAATTTAAAATATAGTGTCAAATCTTTCATATGGATTTTTTTGTAAAAAAAAAAGATGCAACATTTGCAGATATTTTTACTGGTCTTCCTTTATAAATATGCATTTCTTTAAACATAATTTAAAAGCAGTGTAAGGGAAGTAACCAAAATGTTGTATTTGGATTACCTCCCTTACACTGTTTTAAATTATCTTAATTGATTATTAACCATTACTTTATACATAATTTAAAAGCAGTGTAAGGGAGATAATTTCAATGATGTATTTGATTTATCTCCCTTACACTGCTTTAAATTATGTTTTGTACTAAAGTATTTGTCCATTAACCAGGACAACCTTGTTTTTCCCCCTTTTTTGCCCCTAATTCTTAAACGGTTTGAGCCATAATCCCCGAAAGCAAATCCTAACCATCCCTTTGTGGTATGGAAACTTGTAGTATAATTTCAGAGAGATCCATACACCGTTCCACAGTTATTGTCTGGAAACTAGAAAATGCTTATTTTTGGCCCCTTTTTGGCCCCTAATTCCTTAACTGTTGGTACCATAACCCCAAAAATCAATCCCCACCTTCCTTTTGTGGTATTGAACCTTGTGGTAAAATATCATAGAGATCCATTCACTTAAACTAAAGTTAGAGTGCGAAAACTAATGGGCCTTCGGACGACGACGCCAACGTCATACCAATATACGACCACAAAAATTTTTTTGCGGTCGTATAAAAATAACTTAAAATAGTTATGCATTTGTGTTCCGCTCTTCTTAGTGCAAATGGCTTTTTAATGATCGTAATCTGCACAATATCAAATGACAATGAAATCTATAATTTTTTGATGTACAAAATATAACAGGACCGACCATATACCTTATTCTTATTTAGTCAAATCAGGGGAGACAACTTCCTGTTTGGGTCAAGTGTTGCAAATACTAAGGTCATCAGTGATGAGCTGTGGGAGGAAAAAGTTAAGAAAGCGATAAATTTTGATAGTTTATGAACCAATTATTTAAAGACAAATCAAGGGAATAAAAATGCTATGTATGAAGTGTTTACGATGATTTGAACATGTCTGTATGAAAATTGTTATGCGCAATACATTGTTTAAACAGGGTCCCAGATAGCTTCTGTTTTCCACTAGTTTGCGACGTCAGGAAAAAGTTTTGTAATTTTAGAACTTGGAATAAATAGCGATAAGGTCTATTGTAAGATAAGATAAGATAAGATAAGATAATTTATTTTATTAAAGTGTCACCATCCATTACAGTATCTATATATATATAATTTAGATAATCTGCAATCAATTCCATTTTCATGCCTAATATATATCATGTACTGTGTTACGTACAACTCTAGATTCTACTGACGAGGAAAGGTAACACTAGGCCACCGAAAGCTGAATTTTTAGTTCAGTCTAGATGGCCGAGTGGTCTAGAGCGCTGGACACAGTGCAGGCGGTGTTGTCTCGATATCTCAATAGCATGAGTCCGAATCCCGGCAAGGGAAGAACAAAAATTTGCTTCCGCAAATTTGCAGATTTAACATTGTTGTGCTGATATTTAGAGTAATAATGAATAAGATATGTGTTTTCAGCCGTGTATCACCTTCACTGGTGATCCAATACATGGATCTGTCGTAGAGTTGTCACTTGTTTAGACGTACTTATACATAAAATAAAAGGATGCCAACCGAAAACGACTTATGAGATATTATCATTAAAACAGACATTTTATTCATACATAAAAAGACATCTTTTTTACATGTAAAAATTATTTCATAAATAAAACAAAAAATACATATTTAATTTCTAGATTACGACATACATGTATTTTCGTCGGTAAAACATAGTATAAAGGGAACTAGCTAAAAGAGGAACCATATTCTCATTACACATAAGATAACGGTGTTTTTCAAATATCGCATAAATAATCAAAATCAACATTTAAAAGATAGGCTTTGGCATATAATTCGTGTCTGATATCAGAGTAAAAACAACAATTAAAAAGAAAGTACTTCTCATCTTCAATTTGGCCACTATCACAAAAAATACCCAAACGATCTTGTAGAGGTTCTGGTGGTCTTGCATATCGACCTGTTTAAACTTTAAGTGTAACGAACCAGCTCTGAATAGTGACAAAATACGTCGGTGGCATCTATAATTATTAACAAACTTTACATAAGGTTACGTACCAATACAAGTTTTAAACAATCTATAAAATCTTCTTTAATGTATAACCATTGATATATTTGTTATCATTCTATAACTCGTGATACCAAGATTTTTTTTCAAAAGTTTGTATAAAATCCCATAGATTACTCAAATTAACACCATCTTCTACAGTTTCAATCAAATTATATTTACGAGCTAACTGTAACACTCTATAATCCCATGACGATTTTCTTCTAATCGCCCAGGTATGAACCTTTTTACATAATATACTCACTGTGTATCATCACCACCGGATATAGGTACCCTTGGCCTGGTTCTCTGTTCATTGTCTAAGAAAAACTACATTACTGTACAAATACCATCGTATAGCTACCCAGTACACAGTGATACTAGTATTGTCACATTAAAGACGATTCCATAGTTTAAAAACTTCAACTTTTAATAGAGCATCACATGACAAAAACCCCATATCACCTCTAGCAGCTAAATTACTGCTTCTCTTGCTTAAGCCTAAGAAAAATTTACAAGCAATGCTTAGCAAACTATTTATACAATGTATATTAATTAACCATACACCAGAAGCATATGTAAAAATGGGTTTTACTAAAGAGTCATATAGTTTTGTAAATACATCAAAATTCATACCACCAGTTTTACAAAATTTTGCTTTAATAGCACCAAGACCTCTATTAGCTGATTTATGCAATTCTTTGGCAATTATTGAATAATCCGAAAATTCATTCAAAAGTACACCAAGATATTTATAACAAGATGTAAAATCAAGACATAATTCACCACATTTGAACTGAAAAT